CATGCATGTTGTCCTTGACAGCCGGCCTACCCATAAAGGCTTGTTTATAACCTTTGGCCGTTTGCTTACTTCAACTCTAGCTTGTGGACGAAAAACATGACGAGGAAAAGCGCATCAACGGGCAGGGTAAAACTGAGCTCGCGGATTTAGCAATTACACTAGGTGCCCTCGGCCACACATTTCGGAGCAGGCACAGACATTTCGCATGCCTTTTTTACGTTGCTTTTCCCCTTCGCAGAGGCGGGAACGGCGATGATGAAAAAGAGCCCAAGACTGCAGTGGCCGTGAACGGCAAGGCGTTGTCAAGCCTGAAACACTCACTAACCTTTTAGCCCCTGTCGTCTCTTTTGGCCCCGTGGCGTTTTCCAGAAAGAGAAGAAGGCTAGTTCGAGGAGCGAACACTTGGTAAAATAAGAGTAGAAAAGAGCGAAATGGTGGGGGGCGGATCACGGAACGGCTTTGTTACAGGTTGCGGTGAGGCTGAAGTTGGCGTTGGGGGCGTTATTTGAAGCGGAGGGGGTTGCGCAGCGGTCTGTGCCGTCTGTCTTTGCGGCAACGGCACGGGGAACTTTCCACCCACGCCGCACTCTTGGTCCTTGTGGGCTGGAAGTAGCGAGCGAGTTGAAGAGTCGTTGTCTGTTAGGCCTAGGCTTCGGGGGAGGAAGTGGAGGTGGCGGGCGAGGCACGTTTTGGGATGTTGGTTTAGGATGTTGGTTTAGGATGTTGGTTTAGGTAGGTGTGAGACTGTGATGAGCGGCGGGATTAGATCTTGTGCATGTTGTTGACAACTGCTGGGTGTGAGCCGGCTGAAAAATTACCACGGAAAAATGGAAGGCATGTATAGATAGATTCGCCGGGAGCAGGTTCATCAAGCCAACCAGCCGGCACGGACATTTTCCCGCCGAGCCGGCTTCTCTTTCCCGCCCGAAAGATGCCGTTCACCGAGTTCGCCATCGCGGCGGTCTGTTGGTGATATTTGCTGCGGCTCAACCCGTGGCGATGGATCACACATCTCTCGACCAACAGAACCTCGGAAGCAGCTCGGTGGAGTGAGACACCGACCCCTGACTGCTAAATAAAAACTTTCTAGGCCTTCTTCTGTCTCTCACTGAGAGCGGACGGTTTTGCCTCCACGGTGGTTGTTGGGGGTTGGACTGACAAAAAGGGAGTTGATCTCGTGCCTCGCGGCGTAGCAAGATCGATCTGGATGTTGATAGGTGATTTTGCTGGGATCATTCTCATCGGCGTGCACGGATACAGTATAAGGGGACACGAACGAAAGATCATCCGGCAGTCGGTTTTGGCGGGTGAGGCACGGATAAGCTGTTCTGTGTATCATTCTCTTGCTCCAAAATCTCGTTCCTACACGGACCCGGGTATCCTCTTAGGTGTATTCCGTAGGTTTGCGGCGAAGAGCGGGCTCGAGAGTCGAAAATCCTTCCTTCCTCGGCGTTCTCTTGGCAAGAGCTGAGCACAGGCTCTCCACTAACGCTACGCTGTCTTTCACAATTCAGTGCTGGCTCTCTCCCGCCCTGTCGGGCTGCGATGGTAAGACCTGAGAGGTGGAGCGGTTTGACGCCAAAACAACCGCTTGTCTTGGGTGTTTCCAGGGCTTGGGATCCGCGGATCGGGAATGACGGCATTTTGCGATCGGCGCGGGTGATGGGCGCTGGGTTTGGTGGAGGCTGTGAGCGGCACAAGCTCTGAAAGGCAAGACACAGCGCGAAGAGGCGCCGACTCGACTTATTGGCGGCGCGGTTGTTGGTTCTGAGTGAGACACAGCAGGAACAACAACAACAAGAACGACAACCGAACCGCAAACGACAAACGGTAGCTCCACAAGGACTCAAGCCTCTCGGTGTCGAAGTTTCAAAGATTGGTGCAGGCAACAACCCGCAAGTTGGCAGCGGATCCAGATGTGGAATTCTCAGAGCTGCATCGCCCGGTTCTACGGAGAGTTGGAATTGGTGCAACGGGGCTCCGAACTGCTGTGCCGTCCGAATACGGCGGTCTCTTGTACATTTTTGGCCCTTGGGGCCGGCTTGGAGGTTACCAGCACGTGTTCTCTCGGCCTCGCTGTGGTCGGTCGGGTCTGGGGAAGTTGAGCCAGCCCGTGGACGAACGTCAAGCCCCGGCCCTCCGTTTGGGCTGGCCGTTTTGACGCGACGGCATGGCTGCCCTGTCTCTGTTCTCGGCTCCTTTGCCGACAGAAACATCCAGATCAATTGGTCCTGCGGCCGAACTGCCCGGGTTGAACGGCTTACCAGAAGCCCCGGGCGATAACCGGAGCAGTATGCAGTATGGGATTCAAGACTGCTTTAAATTAATATGGCTTTTGCTTGGTTGATAAAACCGCATTGCCCAGTTAATATTTGGTTGCTTCCTGGCTCCTCGCTCCTCTGGACCACGCGGCCCGGGGTGCGCGCTCTTCCCCCCGATGATTGGGACCCCTCTTTCGTGCAGCCCGGACCCATTCCAGATTGAGCGATCGAGGAGATGACGAACCTTTGCCTGCAGGATACTGGCGCTGAGCACAACCACTGTCTGCATCAGCCCACCACCATACCACCATCTTATTCTCGCCAAGCTCTCGAGGCGACAATGGCGATGACAGCAGATCCAGTTCCGGCACGGCGAAGAGGTTGGCTCAACGTTACGCAGGACGCGCAGTCTCTCGGGGGATGGTCCCACTAACGATGGGGTAGAACGCAAACAACTGCAGCTTGCCCACTGCCTTCCCGGAAAAAATACGATGGCTTGGTCGCGCCGTGTAATCTTGGCGGTTCGCAGCAACGGTAGAATTGGGCCCGCACTCATCGAGGGCCGCCGTGGTCCGAAAAATGGTGATCACCGCCGTCCGGTTTGTGGGGAAGGGAATCCCTCTTTGTTGTTAACGCCTGCAGTTCTTCAACCTTATCATTGTCTCACAAGTCACGAATCATGTTTGTTGTGAGCGACAAAAATTAGCGCGGGGTGGAAAGATCGAAAGGAAACAAGAGCTGCAAATTGAGCTCTCGCGAAGCCCGAAATTTGATCCTTTTGCCGTGGTGCAGGACCCACTGCATGGCGCAACTGAGCAATATCACAACAGGGTGGGTCCGTTTTCGACCCTCGAACCAACCACATGGGAGCTCCCGATGCGCAATCCGAGTGGGTCGCTCCACCAAACCCTCCGAAGTGCAGGTACGAAGACGCAGGGGTTTTTCTCCCACAAGAACCCCAGTCTTCACAAGTACATACCTCCGTGCACGACCAGCTTTCCCACCTTGGCTCGAACCTGAGAACGCCATGCCGCTGCATTTTCAGGGCCCGCCGCCGGGAGGCCTTTCGCCCCTCTTTGGGAGGACGGTGCCTGGCAGCGTTGCGTGCCTGGCATGATGGAAGCCACCACGTTCTCAGGGAGTTCGTCTGGTCTCCCGTTGCGGGCCCCGTTTCCTTTCGGTCCGTCAAAGGGAGGCCATCGGAGAAAACCCGTCCGACCGGCGCATTGAACCCCTCAAAAGGGGAACAGGGTCTGGCGGACGATGAGAATTGAGTACCAGCCTGGCCGAAGCGATTTTTGGTCGTTGCGACTGGTGTGTTGGCCGTATTGTTGTCTTTGATCCCACGGGCGTGTTCAGGTTCTGCTGGATTTCGAGCTCAATTTTCCTCCGCCAAGTCTCGAGGGCCAGACGCTGCCCAGGATTACCCTGGGGTGTTGGTTCTGGGTGTTGGGCCAAGGGAGCTCCGTTTCGACCTGTTAGTCCTGGCGTAACTCATCACCAGTTTCCCAGCAAATGATACTTCATGATCTATCAAGCCCCGCCGCAACCCCCCGAGCACAACTGAAGCGCGCATGTGCCCACCTCGGGCCCTGGCTGGTGCAATCTGCCCCGTTGCGACCCTCTGTTTCCTGCTCGGTCGGTTGTGCCCTGGTCTGGCATCCGCATCCTTGCAACGACTCCGCCCCAAAGGCCTTCCCGTGTGGTTTCCCTTTCCCTCCAGCCCCTTGCGTGTTGTTTCTCCCGCTTCGCTTCAGGTGGGCTGTTCTGTCTGCTGTGGTTTCGTTCGTTCCGTTCTCCTTGGAGCCAATCCTTCCCTTTCCTTTCCCTCAGCCTTTCACTTCTCAACCACCACCGTTCCGGCGATCTTCTCTCCTCGACGACGTCGCTCTACCTTTTCGGATCAGGCCCATTCACGACCGCCTTGCCGACCCCGAATTGGAGCGCACGCAATCCCCATAACCGTCGTCCGACCATCTTGCGCGACCTTGCGACCCGGAAGAAGGACCACCTCTCTCTCCCCCCGGAAAGCCGACCGTGATTTTCGTCCCGATGCCCGCCCTGTCATGACCCGTGAACGCGAGCTCCAGACGCCACGAAGGTGAAGCACCGTTAATTCTCGAAAGCACCATATTATCCGACGACTATTCGTCAAGCCACTCATTTGATACGCAATCGCCTTTTTTGCTTGGATTTCTTTTTGCTTAGAGGATCTCATTCCGAGTTTCCTTTCACCACCAATTGTGAGTCCGGGCTGAGGCGCTAAGTCGGGGAGGGGCTTGAAAGAGCAAGGAACAGAGAAGAGGGCGAAGGGCGATTGAGCTGGCGCGGAGGACTCGGGTGGTACACACTCGGAGATTCGGCCGAAGATCAAGGCTCGGGACGCTGTTTTGGAGAGTTGATGATGAGGCTGGTTGATACTGGGTACTGACAGCGGTGGTGGCCGACGATAGAACACACACACTCGTTCATTACTTTTTGTCAAGTACACTCATTACGACATTCCTGACAAGTGAGTGACTCTTCGCTCCCAATAATGGCATCCTTGGCCACGAGCTAACAGGCAATCTCAAAGAACCCTCCACTCTTTACCGGCGGTTACCTGCGCCTCAAAATTATACGCGCTTACGACGGCCCCTCAGGCAAACGATTAATTCGTCAGAGAGTGAGATAGAATGAGGACGGCCTCGGTGTTGGCCGCCGCTTTGGTGGCGGTCTCGTCCGTGGTAGCGAACCAAGATGGCGCGCGGCCGAGATACTACTTCCCGCGACAGGTGAAGCGGGAGGACACGAGGCGCGCGGTAACACCCCCTGGGGCCGCGGCTCCAGTTTCGGAGACCACGAAGAAGGCCGGGCCAGGCGCGGACGAGAATAAGAACGACACGCCGGTAACGACGATTATTGTATCCAGTACGGTTTACGTTTCGCCATCGGGCGCCACTTTGACCCCGTTCACGTCCACCAACCGCAAGTCAAGCAGCGAGTCAAGCGACAGTTCGAGCGAGAGTTCCTCGGAAAGCAGGAGCAGCAGCAGCAGCAGCAGCAGCCGAGGCGGATCCAAGGACGACACCTCGAGCGAGACCTCGTCATCGACTAGCACAACATCCGATGACGACAACTCGACGAGCGATAAGTCGACTGAAACGACTTCGTCAACCAGCAGCAAGACAACCCATACCACTTCCACCACCAGCGATAAGTCGTCCAGCGAGAGCTCGACCACGAGCGACAAGACTTCCGATGAGAGCTCCACCAGCGACAAGTCTACCGATTCGACCTCGTCGACAACAACCTCGGACCGCAGCACTACTACCGACGACAGCTCGTCTGAGGAGACTCCTTCGACCAAAACTAAGACGCGGACCCGGACTCACTCGTCGAGCTCTACTACCGACAGCTCTACCTCTACCTCTACCTCTGAGTCTGACAGCACCACGAGCACGACGACATCTCATTGGGAGCTTCCCACTTTGATCTCGATCCCTCCGATCTTTGGTGACAGCAGCACGACGACTAGCACGGTGACCAACACCACGACTCGCAGAACTAGCGCTACCTCGGCAACTTCGGACGAAACAAAGGCTTCGTCGACTGGCTCATCCACGTCCGAGAAGTCCACATCCGAGGAGTCGTCCGCTACCACCAAGATTTCTACTTCTGAGAAGTCGACGGACTCGACCGCGACTACGTCGTCCATTGTGATTGCGCCGACGGGTATTGTGACCACAACGTCGACCACAGCAAGCACGGAAAGCACGAAGACCACGGAGAGCACATCGATGACATCTGGATCTGGAGACTCACTCAGCTCCATGCTCAGTAGCATCGACTCGGCCATCTCTAGCATTTTCAACCCCACGGGCGCTAGTTCCACGGAGACGACGGTCAAGCCTACTGATGGAATTTCTGGTCCCGGCACGGGTATTTCGAGCGGGACGGCGACGGCGACAACGACAGGGACAGAGACGACGACGGGGACGGAAACTGGGACCACTACGACGGCCACAGGTACTGTGAGCAATACGGTGTCATCTAACTCGACCGCGACGGCCACTGGGACCAACACTTCTTCGGACCCGCCGCGCTCGTCGACCACAAGTATTGGAGGAGGTCCTGGCCACAACTCAACGTTCACCCCACCGCCGCATTTCACGACCTCGACGACCATCTCTTTCAGCGGAAACGGCACGGTGTTGCCGCCCAAGACGACGACAACTAGCTCGTCCTCGACTGTCAGCACGTCTACGCGCACCTCCAGCACTAGCAGGGATCCCGAAGATGGAGTCACTAGCATTCCGCCGCTCACGTCGTACACGGCCTCGCCTACAAAACCATTCATTCCCTCTACAATTATCATTGACCCAGCAACATCGACGACTGGGTCGATCTCGACCACGGCCAGTGGTATTCCGTCGTACTTGCCCTCTGCGATTGCGCCAAATAACGGCGTTCCTACAACACCCGAAGACACTATGCTTATCCAGATTGGGTTCCGGGAGGGCTACAAGTACCCATTCGTGGTGGGAGACAACAAGGCCGCTGCTCAGATCTTTGAGTACCTACCGCACGCGCTGAGCGAGGCCGGCGGTTTCAAAATTGATCTTTCACAGGTGAAGCGGCTTGTGCCCATGGATACGCAGAACTCGCTCGGCTACATCACGACGTGCGCGATCGTGTCATACCCGGTCAGCATGGTCGACGCGCTTTCCCTCGACATCAAGTTGCCCAGCGCGCAGTTGTACAACAGCCCCAACAAGCTCATCTACAACCTGACGCAGCAGATCAACCCGGCGATTCCCATCAGGATCGGGGACTATCCCGATTGGCTTCACAACGGTTCGGGAGAGAACAATGGCGACGGCAACGGTTCTGGGGGCTCCAACGGTGATCCCTTCGGCTCCGGCGGTGGCGGCGGCGGCAACTCAGGCGGGCAGAGCAGCACGCAGCGGGGTACAACAGCCGGCATTGTCACTGGTGCCGTCGCCGTGGCTGCGGCGTACGGTGTGGTCATGTTCGTTGTGGCTCGTCGGTATAAACGCAAGCAACAGGGACACCGGCGGGCGAGCTCGATTAGCAACCCGCCCGAGATGGGCGAGCAGGGCCGCGGCAGCCCTGCGCTCATGGGCGGTGCTCTGCTCAGCCGCGACTTCACGAGCAGCTACGGCGCGGCCCCTTCCAACGGTCGTGACAGCCACGGCAGCGGCCGGAGCGGCATGGGCAACTCGGGACGCACGCAGTTCATCTCGGCGCCGGTTGCAGCTGGCAACTCGCTTGGCTGGAACTGAGCCCGTGGTTGATTTGCCCTCCCCGACCTGATGACACCCCCGCCCGATTCCGATCCGTCATGGCTATGACCCCCTTTTTCGTTTTCTCACCTTTCCCGTCATCATCATCTCTGGCCACATTCGAACACATCGACCGCCATATTCCGAAACATTTCACCGACCTTCGCCTTGAGATGACGCGGAAAGATGCTGAACCCCTTTTGGTGCTTCGATACCTTCTACCACACCGCCTCTGCGCCTCCTCTTTCCCCCCCTTGATGGTCAGTTGCGGCCCGGCCCGTCTTGCTTTCGTAATAAGGTCTTTGCGGAAAACCCCACATTGTGGGCAGACGGGCCGGAACCGCGCGCATTGCATTGTACATACGTTTGTGCCTACAACATGCATGAACTGAGCGCCTTGGGCGCTGACACCTCGCCAACCATTTATTCGTGTCCATGTAACTTTTTCTGGTTTATTCGCAGCGGAGCCTTTTTATTTTTGGGTTGGGACTTTCAAAAACACTTACTTCATTGGTGATACCTCTGATCTTGGGCAAATCACCTCTCCCCCTGTCGTCCCTTCGAAGGTTCTAGGATCTTTTCTTTTCTGTGTATACATTCCACCTGGGCTTTGAAGTGGGGGCGGGGGGGAGGTCTTATGTCTCTTTTTTTATTTTTGGACAGACAAGGGCCAGATCAGGCAATTTATTTTACTAGTTATTTTTTCTTGTTCTTGTTCTAACCTTTTTGAACGCTTCTTGGGCCGTTTGTGCCGGCCCCTCCGCTTATGTCTGGGTTACTACCCGTGGTGTCTTGAGAAAGGGTGGTTGTATCTATCGCTACTACCATTTTATTCTCGAGATACCGTAGGAGACCAGACTGGGGAGGTATTATTATAATTTTTTGGTTCCTTTGTCGTTTTGTTTTTCAGTTTTCTTTTCTTGATGGGAGGAGGTAGGAGGTAGCGACTGGTTAGGGTTGTTGGCATGTTGGATGTGGCCTTCCCCGGATTGGATGGGTGAACAGAACGAGGGGATGGATGTGGTTTTGGAAGGTAAATCGGATTCGGGTCGGGGGTGTTTGATAGGTAGCTTGTGAATGGGCGAAGGGAGTGGTTGTGAAAGAGGGGGGGGACGGAAAAAGAGAAGCTTTCCGGTGGACCTGTGGTACGTCGTGGGGTGATTCCTTGCTTTTGGTAGTGTACTCTTGTGTGCGTTTATACGGATACTGGGTATGTTGTCATATTGGTAGCAGGTTCAGACAATAGTTGAAGCTTTTTATATGTTTGCTGAAGATTGGTTCTTGCTTCCTGATGGTGAAGTGAAGTGCTTTTGTCGGCGGTGTTGGTTGTCCTCTGTTTGCCCTTGATACCTGACTGCTACCGCAAGAAAGGTTCATCCCAAACTGTCGAGCCGGTAGTTCGGATGGGCCAGTACATACAATTCAGGGTTCCGAGTACCTAAAGAATATGCGGCCCCTCCCTCTTCTCCCCGCACTGTCGGGTCCATGGACCCTGGAAATGTCAGAGAAAAGAGTCACCTGGCCTTCCCCCTCCCTTCATTCTTCTCCAATCCATCCTTGCCATCCAACATCCAAGTTGAAGAAGTAAGGTCTCGTGCACTCCTTCCCCAAACATCATCCCATCCTCCCGCCTTTCTTTCTTTCTTTCCACCTACTGCGGCATACCCAAAGCAGCAAGAACCCGAAGCAAGCGGGCAGCTGAGCAGCTGAGCAGCGCGGGACAGGCGGGCAGCGTGGCCAATTGTCGCCAAGCGCTGGGTCAACTGGTGGGGGGGAGGGTGACAAGCACTGGCGAGGACTGGCAAGGACTGGCAGGGACTGGCAATGGCCGGCAACCCACCCGTCTGTCTTCGCCTAAAAGGGGAACAAGATGAGCGTGTCCTGTATGGGGAGACTTTTGTCATTTCCGCGCCTTTCCCGTGAGACCGGGTGACCAACACGCAGCAGCAGGAGCTGTAGCATCCATGTCGGTCTTTTTTTCGCTCGCTAACTAGCTATTGTTGTATTTTTTTTTGTTTGAACCTGGCTTGAAAGGACTTGGGGGTGTTGAGCGGGGAGCGGGGCTGATTGATTGATCTACGACCGACACCGGTGCTCTGGTGACCTGGTGAGAGGGTCTTTATGCGTTGCGTGTAGGGGGTTTTTGAGGAGGGTTTTTTTCCTCCTCTTTATTCCCCTTCGACTTCGGCGGCTCTTTCTTGGGGTTCTCTCTTCCTGGCGCTGTTGTGATTTACAAGTCGTGAAAAGGGAGGTGTTGAGATTGAAGTGGCCGTTTAATCAGACATATCTACTATGATGGGCTGGCAGGTTCGCCTTTGAATTGTGCAGCTTTTGGCACATTCATACATACACGGTACATCTCAAGATTGACAATCTCGGAACTACCCCACCAACAACAGCCTATCGACTCGACCGCCTTTTACACACGGGATATACAAGCACTCGCCTACTTTACTCACTTCTCAAGTCATTCACCCCCGACCTCTGCAGTCATACCAGAACCAGGTCGAAACCATACAACGCCTCTAAATCAGCCATGGCCTCCTCCGGCCGCGCCACCGTCTCCCGGGGCCTATCATACGGCGCTGCCGGATGGCCCTCGTCATCATCATCATCCGCTTCATCTCCGGGACTAGCAGGAGGACGAATAGAAGGGGGACGAAGCAGGCGACTAACGCCCGACACGGGGTCGGATGAGGAGGAGGAGGAGGAGGAGGAGGAGGAGTACGGGAATGAAGACGACGACGACGAGGAAGGGAATCGGAGTGAGAAGGATGAAGAAGCCGGGGTTGGGTTTCGACGGGCTGGTGATGGTGGGAATCGGGAGGGTGGTGAGGAGGATGATGAGGGTTCGGAGGATGAAGGTGACGGGCGTTCGCCCCCGCGACGACGACGGCGTCGGGGGTTGTATACCGCCGAGGAAGAGGAGGCGGTTGTTCGAAAGTTTGATCGGAAGCTGGTAGTGTTTATGGCGCTGTTGTATATGCTTAGTTTCTTGGATCGGTCAAGTATGGTTTCTTCTCCTTCATCCTGTGCTTGTTTGCTTGAGATAGACTTAAATACTAACGCTCCCAGACATTGGCAACGCCCGCGTGGCCGGCATGGACGACGACCTGCAATCCATCCCGCCCCGCGAAGGGTGGTACGAGTGGTCGCTAGGCGCCTTCTACCTGTCCTACATCGCCTTCGAATGGATGGCACTGCTCTGGCGGGTCATCCCGGCGCACATCTACGTGGCCGCGCTGGTGTTCTCCTGGGGCGTGATCGCGTCGCTGCAGGCCGTGGCCGTGAACTACCCAATGCTGATCTTCCTGCGCGCGCTGCTGGGCATCGGCGAGGCGGGCTTTACGGGTGTGCCGTTCTATCTGTCCTTTTTCTTCAAGCGCCACGAGTTGGCGTTTCGCACGGCCATTTTTGTGTCGGCTGCTCCCTTGGCGACGACTTTTGCGTCCTCGCTGGCGTGGGTTATTGTCAAGCTGGCCGAGTACAGTCCCATCGCTCCGTGGCGGTTACTCTTTCTCGTCGAAGGGTTTCCCTCCGTCTTGGTAGCCGGCATCGCATGGACCGTCATCCCCGACTCACCCCAAACCGCATCCTACCTAACACCGCGAGAAAAGAAAGTCGCCTACCTCCGTCTCCAGTCTTCCGAATCCCCTTCTAGCAAAACCACCACCACCTCCTCCTCCTCCTCCGCCTCCGACCCAGATTCCTCCACCCTCACCTCCACCCTAGCCATCCTCCTCGACCCCACCGCCTGGCTAACAGCCCTCATCTTCTTCCTCACCAACACAGCCTACTCCTCCCTCCCCGTCTTCCTCCCCACCATCCTACACACGATGGGCCACTCCCCCTCCACCGCCCAACTCCTCTCCGCACCCCCCTACCTCCTCGCCTTCGCCACAGTCCTCCTCACCGCCCACATCTCCGACATCTCCCGCGTCCGCAGCCCCTGGCTCATCGCCCACGCTCTCGCCTCCGCTGCGGGGTACACCGTCCTCGCGCTGGCCGAAGGCCCGCTAGGCTTGGAACCGGGGAGTTGGCTGCGGTATCTAGCCGTGTACCCGGCCGCAAGCGGATTCTTCAGCGTGGTGGTGTTGACGATTGCGTGGAGCGTGAATAACCAGCGCGGGGCGGCGAGAAGGGGCGCCGGGTTTGCGCTGTTGCAGGTGGTAGGGCAGTGCGGACCGCTGGTGGGCACGAGGTTGTACCCCGATAGGGATGGGCCGTATTATACGCGGGGGATGGCGGTTTGTGCGGGGGCGATGGGGGGGG